AGGTGATTAAAATGGGTCGCGACAAAAAATGGCTGAATGAAGAAAAATACGAAAGTGAGAGCACAGTGTAAATGTTGCACATCATTTATAGATCATCATTTCACCGAAATAAGCTCGTAATATATGTTATTTTAAATATATATATATATATATATATATATATATATATAGTCTGTTCACTGTCGTGGACTGAATGATGTCAGTTCTCTCTCACATAGTAACCTCACACCAAAACTTAGCTACGAAGGTGTGTAGTGCGTTCGTCTTTGTGGCCGGTACAAGCTGTTAAGATTGTTGAATAATTCAGTTGCATCTGAAGTTAAGGCCAAAAATAGATTCATTGTCAAAGTCGAGTACACGTATATTCTATCTGTAGTAGTAAGATGATGTGTTCATTTGAAGTCTCAGAATTTTCGGCGAGTTGGCTGTTGTTTCGGAAAATCAAAGGACGGGCTATTTTTTTTTTGTTTTTTTTTTTAAATAATAAATTTATATTCGTACAAATAGATAATACAAATAGACACATGCAATTCCAATATGTGCCGACCATAAGATATATATATATAAATGAACCTAGTGAACAGAGTTTGTCTTTGATGTAATGGGTCGCAATGTAAAATGTGCTTTTTGCTGTGGGTGGCGTAAAAAACTTTGTGGGATTGTGTACTACAAACTCCTTTGGCAACATCAGACGTTGAAAATCTCCTACAGAAGGTAGCGAAGGAGAGCGAGAAGAAGGGACTAAGCATAAACTACAAGACAGAATACATGGTCATAAATAAAAAGATGAGTCCGAAATGCAATTTACAGGTCAGGGACCATAAATCAAACAGGTGCAGAAATTTAAATATCTGGGAAGTGTTTGATAGTAGACGGTTAGTGCGACGATGAGATCCGAAGACGTATTTGGATGGCCAAGGACGCATTCCAAAACCTTGGCAGAGTATTGCAAGAGCAGGAGGATTTCTTTGATAACAAAGAAAAGATTATTGAGCTGCTACGAGATATCTGTTCTCCTTTACGACAGCGAATGTTGGACGGTCTCCCCAAAGATGAAGAAGAGACTCGAGGCGACGGAGATGTGGTTCTACAGAAGGATGCTGAGGATATCATGGACAGAACATGTGAGCAACGATGAGATTTTTGAGAGAATGTAACCAAGAAGGAAGCTTATACTTAACATCAGGAAGAGGCAGATAAAATTTCTGGGACGCGTAATGAGAAAGGAGGGCCTGGAGAAACTGATACTCACAGGGCGGATAGACAAGGGAAAACAACGCGTGACATACCTAGCGGGATTAAGCAAGTGGCTGACGGAACAGGGTTTGGGAGAAGTAGAAAAAGTACAAAACATATTGAGAGCTACAAGGGATGGAGGAGGGGAGAGCCATGATTGCCTACGTCCTGAAGGGACACGGCACATAAAAGAAGAAGTCTGTTTCAGCTGGAGTGAGTAAAGACAAAATCCGCTGAAATATTTCCTTTTTCTACCCGGACGACGCCATACTTCTCGTCTTTTTGCAGTTCCGGCAGAAATTAGTCACGCTCTATTCATCTGATCTTACACCTTCGTATTATCAATTATGTCGATACTTACAAAATGCTCTTATGCGGATGACGTTCTATTCTCTGTAAGTTTGGAGAACGATGGCAAGTTCTAAGAGTATGGAATCATGAAGTATTCTCAAAGATTGCCAACGATAAGAAAATGATATATATGCGGTTGAATAAATCTATGTACAAGTATATAAATTTTATATTGAAATTCACTTAAAAACACTACAAAATTTCCTTCACATTTTGGTTCCACCAGTTCAGACCTTTACAACTCGAAGACCCCATGTTACTTCCACAGAGTCGAATTAACGTCATTTCTTCCGTAATCCAATTATAGGAAGAAAGTCCTCTAGTGTTGTGGGTCTCTCCCCTTTTTACATAAGATGGACTCGTCCAAAGTATACTTATACTGACAGAGAGAATACCTGACACTGATTTACGTCGAGATACAGTCTCGACGTCTGTCGAACTCTCTGCTCTGGCAGAGAGGAACCCGGACGAAGCTTTGCCGAGGGGAAAGGTTTCGTCCGGGGAGGTAGACAGTTCTCGAACCCGCTTATGCGGGTTCAAAGGGGATATTTTTTGGCCGAGCCTCCGGGCTCGGAGAAACCCACTTTAAACTCGGCTTTGTGCCACATATATTCCTCGTTGGTGGAATATTAAATACTGAGACAGTATCTCGACGTCTGTCGAACTCTCTGCTTTGTTAGAGAGGAACCCGGACGAAGCTTTGCCGAAGGGAGGTAGACAGGCCCTGAACCCGTCTATTTTTTGGCGGAGCCTACGGGCTCGGAGAAACCCACTTTAAGCTCGGCCTTGTGCCACATATATTCCTCGTGGGTGGAATATTAAATACTGAGATACGTTGAGACAGGTTGAGAGATACGGAGACAGACACAGAGTGTTCTCAGAGAGTTATACAAGAGTCAAGAGAGAGAGATGATTACGGCTTTACTTACACAGACTTGTACATATACTTTCTTCTAACCCGCATTCCTGGACTACTAATCCTCACTTCAAGTCGGTATTCTTACGTTTAATACATTTATTCTTCTATCTCAATTACTGGTGTTGTTTATTTATTTGTGCAGGATTCCATTCACGGAATCCACAACATCTAGGAAAGTTTTTCTACCCAGGAACTATTTAGATTAAAAGAATCCTCCGTGAATGTTTCTCTGAACACTAAAATCTGAACCTCTTCAAGTCAATCGTTATCTATCCTCTCACAATCATCACTTCCAACCACTTCCGTTTCATTCATATCGTACGACTCCATTTTAACAGTAGCCCTCTACCTTGAGTGACTCTCGGTTTTTTTGAGGGTGAATTTTAGTATAGTAAAGTTAGTTCTGTGTTAGTTAATTCGTCCTTGGGATGTTGCGTGTATCTTCCACAGAAACAGAGCATATCATTACGGACACGGGAATTAAACTCAAGAACACAAGTGAAATAGAGTGAGCCAACAGGAATTACAAGAAGGATCCGAACTATGACAGACACCTGAAGAAGGCCACAGAATGCAACGATCGAAAATATTATGTCTGTAACATTGAAGACTTGTTGGTGAAAAGCTCCAATAAATTCATGTACAGTGTAACCCGGATATAAGAGACCCGGATATAAGAGAAACCCGGATATAAGAGAGATTTTCTCTGGTCCCAAATTAGAGCCTGTGTTAATGTATATAAATTAGACCAAACCCTGATATAAGAGAAACCCGGATATAAGAGAGATTTTCTCTGGTCCCAAATTAGAGCCTGTGTTAATGTATATAAATTAGACCAAATCCGGATATAAGAGAAACCCGGATATAAGAGAGATTTTCTCTGGTCCCAAATTAGAGCCTGTGTTAATGTATATAAATTAGACCAAACCCGGATATAAGAGAAACCCGGATATAAGAGAGATTTTCTCTGGTCCCAAATTAGAGCCTGTGTTAATGTATATAAATTAGACCAAACCCGGATATAAGAGAAACCCGGATATAAGAGACTTCTCCGGTCCCGACAACTCTCTTACATCCGGGTTACACTGTATAATAATAATAATAATACGACAGTCAAAATAATTTAAACAAAACGCGTCTTATTCTGTTCGTTATTTTTTTTTTTTTTTAAGGGGGATGTGTATTTGTCTTTGTTTTAGAGTTCCTATTTATTTTCTCTTCCAAGTCAGAGATACAAATATTTAACCCGTTTCTGGAACTGGACGAGTGCCTCCTATGATATTTCTTGACATTAGATAAAGGAGAGAAGATTGATTGCCCGTGAAATCCCGACGGGCGCAAAGCCAATATCTAACCTTGTTTAGTGGAACAAACTCGCTTTCTGAGAGGCATTTTGCATGCATTTGGTTTGTGAATGAACAGAATCTCCCGAACATACATGGAAATGAAGTGAAAACTAATAACAAAGCCTTACATGAAGAGGAACAATCACAAGAGACGTACATATACATACACACACATCCATAAAAAATCCATTCATATATCCATAAATATATCCATAAATATATATATATATATATATATATATTTATATATATATATATATATATATATATTTATATATATATATATATATATATATATGTATGTTTGTGTGTTATCTACATGCTAATTCATATATCTATATCTATATATATGTGTGTCTGTGTGTCTGTGTTATCAACATGCTAACACCAAAGAATAAATATATTCACATAGATTTATGAGTTTGGGTGTAAGGACTAACATTCATATTTTTGTATATATAAGTGGAGTAGTGGATAGCAGCTTGGATTGAAGAACCGGAGAGCCGAGTTCGAATTCCAGTCGAATTCATTACATTCATTACGTGCTAATACCTTTGGGAAAGATATTAATCCTTTTCTTCTCCCTCCAGCTATGGGTAAATAGCAGGACAGACTGGGATGGCAAGTGGCCTAGGAGAAAGAAAATTCTGAATTCAAAACCTGCAGAGGGTTCATTTGGGCACCTTGTGTGGCACGTAGTGCACCAGGTGTCTGCATTCGGTCGTTCAAAAAATGTGCCTAGTTCTGCACAAAGCCTTCATCCTTATAACCAAATCATATGTGCTGATGTCTGGCTGTCGGTCCCTAGGAACTGATTTGCTTGACTCTCATAAGTCGAATACAACGGGAGAGTCTACCATATATATATATATATATGTATAATACATAAAAGTTAATCGCTAGCGCTGAAACAGACCAGGAAACAGTAGTATTACAAAGTGCTCTATACACATGTAAAAAAAAATAACATAAAATAAAAGTAAAGTAACATGTAGAGCTTTAACTTAACTTAGTTTCAACCTTACGGGATCCTCAGGCGATTTTTATCAAATGACCTCTTAACGCTTTATTTTTTATTTTAAACTAATGAACGCTATGTTATTATTTTCAAAAATAGATAAACAAACACCCGACGTTGGGTGTAATACAAAGAAGAAGAAGAAGAAGAAGGAGGAGGAGGAGAAGAAGAAGGAGGAGGAGGTGGAAAAGAAGAAGAAGGAGAGGAGCAGAAGGAAGAGGTGAAGGAGAAGAATAAGGAGGAGGATGGACAGAAGAAGAAGAAGGAGGAGGAGGAGGAGAAGGAGGCGGGGGAAAAGGAGAGGAGGAGGGGGATAAAAAGAAGGAGGAGGAGGAGGGACATGTGAAAGAGGAGGAGGAGAAGGAGGAGGACGTGGAAAAGAAGGAGGAGAAGTAGAAGGAAGAGAAGGACATGTGAAGAAGGAGGAGGAGGTGAAGAAGAAGAAGATGAAGAAGGGGAAAGAGAAGAAAATACCAAATGTATATTTTATTTAATTTCATGCACAGAGATTTGTTTAAAATTATATATTTTAGTTCGAGTAAAAGAATCTGTTCAGCAACTAAGTTATACCAATATAGTATATTCTGTTAAAAATATGGCGACTCTAGGTTATCAATATTTATTGGGTTCAATAGAATCTTTAACAAAATATACTATTGTTTCGGTGTGGGTAGAAATTGATATTAATCCTGTGTCCTCAAGGTCACGTGGATAAAAGCATTGGTTGAAGTAATCCAAAAAGTGACTTGACCCAAAGAGTTGTGAGTTTTATACGTGGCCAGAGATGAACAAAAACTTAGAGCGTTGAGTTACTGTTACTAATAAGGAATTAACTGAAACTAAGGTGTCTAGAAGAGGTATGGCACGTGGAACTAAGACAGTCTACCCCCGTGGACTAAATTAAGGTTTCGGTTCGAAATTCCAACGTATATCAGCTGAAGTAAGCCAAACTGCCGTGTATATGTCAATAAAGATGAGGACAACAGTACGATCGATGAAAATAGTATAATGTAATGTAATAGATGTTTTGCACTTTTTGTTTTAATAATCTCTTTCCCCAATTTTTTCAATTTCTTTCGTTCTCTCTCTCTCTCTCTCTCTCTCTCTCTTTTCTTTCTCTTTCTTTCTTTCTCTCGGTCTGTCTATCTATCAATATCTATCTGTGTGTTCATTTTTCTTCTTTCATGTCTTTGCCCTGCGTCACCGTATCTTTTTTTTTCTTTTCCATATCGTCTCTCCTTCTAACCTCTACTCCCTCTCTTTCTACTTCATCATCGTCTTCTTCTTCTTCTTCTTCTTCTTCTTCTTCTTGCCATCACGTGGTTCCTCTTTGATTCTTTCTGCTTCTATCTCTTTTCTTCTTCCCTTTTCTTGTCCTACTTTCCCTCCCCCTTTCTCAAATAACTTTTGATTCCTCTTTTCTTCCTCTCCCCTCTATTTTCTCAAACTCTCCACCACGCTTCCTTACGTTTACATCTTTCAGACGCATACATTTTATGCTTATTTTTCTCATTAACTTCTTAAATTTCTCCACTTTATTACTTGTTTCTTTAAATTTTTTGTTACTTTTCTGCTTTAACTAATCTAAATTCATTCCAATTCCACCCGTCGTCTTGTGTCTCTGTTTTCGAAGCTTAACTATTTTTTCTTTTTACTCAACGAGTACAACTCTTTAGTCAAGGGAAGTAATAAAATTTTAACGTTGTTTCCAGTCCCATGTAATTAGTTTCCTGCAAATGCAAAATGGTAGCTTGCTTTGTGCTTCTGGAAAATGCCGACGACATCGAACATAGGAAAAAAAATTCAATATGGCTTCCCATTCGAAGAATACATTTGTTTTTTGTCTCAATTTTAAAGTTGGTTTTGTTTTTTTTATTTAAAAGAAATCTGGGGGTTTTTTTAATAGTTTTCATTCTCTACGTTTTCTGAAAGGGCAAAGAATGGAAATGTATGTTTTTTTTTTCTCCGTTTCAATTCAGACCAAGACTTTTGCATGGATAATTCTTGTGCTTCAAGTTGACGAGAAAACAGAAATGGAAACCATGTACAAAATTCTGCAACTAAAGCATGCCGGGAAGTCAATGAATAAAAAGAAATGACTGTTAGAAAGACTTGTAGACAAAAGCGACGACTGAACACGTAGATACAAATAAATGACTTTAATCTTGAACAAATGATGTTTAATCTTTTTCTTTCTCATTTCGGAACATGCTTTCTCATGAAAATATTAAACCTGAGCAAAAGGTCGTAGCATTTTTTTAAGTGACTTATAAATATAATATTAAAATATTCATACATACATTTATCTAAAAATATTGTCTGACGAGCTTTTGTCACCTTTGAGACAACTAAAATATTCTATTCCCCACCCTCCAGAAATCTTTATTTTTCTGCACCATGAACTGTTATGCATGTTTTACGGGCTTTCATATTATGGAATTTCTCCCTATTAAGAGAATTACATGCGTATTCAAAGACACTGACCAAAAAAGATGACAAAGATGAGAATGTCGTTTCCTATTTCAAATTTTCGCAAAATTCAACTATTTTTATTTCTTATTTCAGTTTATTAAAAAAATTATTTGAAATGCCAAGAGGAAAATCTAAAAGTAGTCCAAATAAATTCTGTTACACGGATACCTCTGTAACGTTTGAAAAGAAATATTACGTCTCTTGTTAAAAGACTATACAATTTATCATTCATATTTTGGGTTCAAACTTAGAAGTCACCTCACTGACTGTTACTTTTGCTTAGTAGACATCCAAAATAACTATATTTTGTTTCTATTAAGTCTCAATACCTAGACACATAGAACTATTTTGTAATTTCATATACATTAGTATAAGAGCAGGAGTGACCAAACCGTAACTTCCGAGCCACATTCGACGCTTGGAAATTTAATATGCGGCGCGTGGAAATGATTTACTATAAACATGCATTGTAAATTCTTTTATTATGAGAATGCATTGTAAACGATTTTAATATAAGAATGCATTGTAAATGATTTTATTATAAGTATGCGTTATAAGCAATTTTAATATAAGAAGTGGTTATAAATGATTTGACTATAAAAATGCATTGTAAATGATTTTCATATAAGAATGCATTGTAAATGATTTTCATATAAGAATGCATTGTAAATGATTTTCATGTAAGAATCCATTGTAAATGATTTTACTATAAGAATGCATTGTAAATGATTTTACTATAAAAATGCATTGTAAATGATTTTACTATAAAAATGCATTGTAAATGATTTTAATATAAGAATGCATTGTAAATGATTTTACTATAATAATGCATTGTAAATGATTTTAATATAAGAATACTCAGCAAATGATTTTATTACAAGAATTCATTGTAAATGATTTACTATAAGAATGCACGGAAAATTCTTTTATTATAAGAATCCATTGTAACTAATTTTATTATAAAAATGCACTGTCAATGACGCTGTCCAAAAATTGTAACTATTTGTTCATTCTGATTATAAAAGTAACATTCATATTTTACGAAATGACTGCATTTTTGTCAGTTGCCAACTAGCATTTATTTCAAATTTTCAAGTTTTCGGAAAAATGGACTTTTTTATTTCTTATTTTCAGGTTATAAAAACATTTGTTGAAATACCAAGAGGAAAATCTTACAGTAATCTAAATACCTTCTGCTACATATGTAGCTCTGTAACGTTTAAAAAGAATAAAAGAAATATTACCCCTCTTATTAAAAAAAAATATACAATTTATATTTTGGGATCAATTCATGGCAACCAAGATAGACCATGGGCAAGATATATCTGCTATGTAACATGCCTCAAGGTTCTCTCAAAATGGTCAAAAAAAGATTGAATATCCTTCCATATAGAGTGCCAATGTTTTTGGCCTGAACCCAGAGAACACGCCACTGACTGCAGCAGACATCCAAAGTAAGTATATTTTGTTAGCTAGAGACCTAGAACAATTGTGTAATTTCATACACATTAAGATGAAAGCAGGGGTGACCAAACTGCGACACTCGAGCCACAAGCGGCCCTTGGAGCTTTAATATGCGGCTCGTGGAAATATGTTGGTTGAACTCTTTTTACCTCACGGCTAATATAACAGGTAAATAAGAAAAATAATGCTTTATAATTATAAATAATAAAAGTCATATTACACCTCTTGTTAAATTTATATTTTGGAATCAAACTTGGCGACCAAGATTAATCATGGGTGGCACATATCCCCTGTACAACATGCTTCAATGCTCTCTCAAAATGGCCCAAAAAAGATTGAATAACCTTCCATATGGAGTGCTAATGTTTCTGGGTTGAAACCCGAGATCATGCCACTGATTGTTATTTTTGTTTAGCAGACATACAAAATAAGTATATTTTGTTTTTATTAGGTCCCAACGCATAGACACATAGAACTATTTTTGTAATTTCGTAAACATCCGTAGGATAACCAAACCTTAAACTTGCTATTCGATCTGTACCCGATACAAGAAACTCCAGCGGCTGAACCGGACACGGAAGTTATCCTGAACCAGGGGAATCAGAAATGAAATTTCCTAGACAAGCAGACGATAACTATGCTCCAGAATTTGAATCACCCAAACCTCTATCACAGCAAGTCTTAATGATCTTCTAAGAGATTTAGACTTGACAAAACAGCAGAGTGAGCTGATAGCTTCGAGGATAAAAGAGAAGAATTTAGTAACGCAAAAAATTCGAATTATAGAGTTTCGCACTTATGTGGACACTTTACAAAAAAAAATTTATTTTTATTTCTTATTTTCAGATTATGCAAAAATTAGTTGACACGCCAAGGGAAAAATCTAAAAGTAATCCAATTAAATTCTGCTTCATATGTGGCTCTGTAATGTTTAAAAAGAATAAAAGTAATATTACACCTCTTGTTAAAAAACTATACAGTTTATATTTTGGAATCATTATGGCGACCAAGATAAATCATGAGCATAGCAGGACATATCTGCTATGTAACATGCTTCAATGTTCTCTCAAAATGGTCAAAAAAAATATTTGGAGTCTCATTGTTTCTGACGTGAACCCTGAGATACCCCCGACCAAAAATCTGCTATTTGGGCTGTACCCGACTCAGAAGCTCCAGCGGCTGAACCGTACAGGGAAATTGTCCTGAACTAGGTGAGTCAGAAATGAAATTTCCTAGACAAGCAGACGATAACTATGCTCCAGAATTTGAATCATATTCGCCCAAACCTCTGTCACAGCAAGTCTTAATGATCTTTTAAGAGATTTAGACTCAACAAAACGTCAGTGTCAGTTGCTAACTTCGAGGCTAAATGAGAAGAATTTAGTAACGCAAGAAAATTCGAATTA